CGATTATTCTGACACCTTTAGTCCTGTGGTCAAACCTGTCACCATTCGAGTGGTGTTAACCATTGCTTTGTTTCATGGCTGGCCCGTTAATCAATTGGATGTCAACAATGCCTTCTTACATGGCTCGCTTCAAGAAGAAGTTTATATGAAACAGCCCCCTGGTTTCAATGATGGGTTTGGCCGTGTGTGTCGTCTTCGCAAATCAATTTATGGTCTCAAACAGGCACCTCGTGTGTGGTATCAATCCCTCAGTGGCTTTCTTCTCTCTCTGGGTTTTCATCAATCCGTTTCAGATGCCAGTCTATTCATATTCTCATCTCATCCATCTTAAATTTATGTTCTAGTGTACGTGGATGACATTATTGTTACTGGTTCAACTCCTGCTCTGGTTCGGCAAACAATTGCATATTTGGCACACAAATTCTCTATCAAGGATTTAGGGTCCTTACATTATTTTTTGGGCATCGAGGTCACCCCTACACCAGATGGCATCTCTCTTGATCAATACAAATACATCACTGATCTCTTGCACATCATGAATATGCATGAGGCTAATCCCGTGGCCACACCCTTGGCTTCATCAGTTTCATTAAGCTTATTTGACAACTCGGGATTATGTGACGCTACTCTTTATCGCCAAGTCATTGGCTCACTACAGTATTTGAACCTTACCAGACTAGATGCTGCTTTCGCCATAAATAAACTTGCTCAGTTTGCTCAGTTTATGCACAAACCCACTGTCAATCACTGGCAGCTCCTCAAACGTCTTCTGCGGTATCTTCACGGGACCGCCACTCAAGGTCTTTTTATTCCCCGCAGCTCTTCTCTTCCTCTCCGTGCTTATGCTGACGCAGACTGGGCCGGCAATCCGGATGACAGATCTTCCACTAGTGCTTATGCAATCTTTCTTGGTGAGTCCCTCATTTCTTGGAAATCCACCAAACAACGCACCATCGCTAAATCCTCCACAGAAGCAGAGTATCGCACATTGTCCACTGCTGCCTCTGAAGTTCTATGGATTCAGTCTCTTCTTCATGAATTACGACATCCACTGACGTCTCCACCTGTTCTGAAGTCCACTCCTGTCTTTCACTCCCGTATGAAACATGTGGTGATCGACTTTCATTTTGTTCGTCAACGTGTTCAACGGGGACTTCTTCATGTTCTTCACATTCCTTCTTATGCACAACTCGATGATGCTCTTACAAAACCCCTTCCAAGGCAGCGGTTTACTCCTCTCAAAGACAAGCTCAGGATTCTTGCAAGTGACCGAATACCTGGCTTGAGGGGGCATATAGAAGGAAATATATCCCAGTATTCTTCCCAAAAGAAATAAAATATTATGTACCGTTACACCATTCTAATTAAGGAAAAGTATATTTGTGTTTATTAGAATAATTATGTTAGAATATTTTCTTTCCTTATAGAATCGCTCTTTGATTGTATAAATACCACCAGAGATTAATGGAATGATTATCAAGTTCAATTCTGGAAAACTCTTCTCCTTAAACTTCATTACTTTCCCTCCTTCTGAAGGGAAGCACTCCCCACCTTCGGGTGCCGCCTAAAATGATTGCGCAGCTCCCTCGGGAATGGATTTTCCGCCATCTTGATGTAGCAGAAGCGATCCTTCCACCCCTTGTGGGACGAAGGCACATCGTCGAAAAGCCTCCACGGGGCGATCTGCTGCAGGTTTGCGAACCCCTCGGAATTTGTATGACCCCCCGGCAGAGGTTGAAACTCTGGAAGAAGAGATCTAAACTCAAAGTTGCCCCCCGGGACCAGAAGAGCTGCAGAAAGCCAGTAATATAGGAGTGACTATTTGGGATGAGCTGGCAAGGGGCTAAGCCTACGTACCTAAGGTACTCGAGGAGAAAAGGATGCAACGATAATCGAAGGCCCATCGCGACAGATAGCACGTGAACCGTGAAACACCCCTCGGGAGCCTAGGACAGGAGGTCATTGGGCCCCGGTTCTATCACTGTCGCCGAAGGCCCTACGTGAAGTTGGGTAACGTAGCACTCCGCCCTATCCGCCCTACACGAAGGCCCCGGTTTAACCAAGAATGCCCCTCGGGTATCCCCACGGGCTTCCCACAATCCGCTGCAATTTGCTTCCTCTTCTGGGGAGCTTTTATCTTCTTCTTCTTCTTACCGGGAGCCATGCTCAGAGGTTCCGGATCTAGAGGCCAGGAGCTACTCGCTTCGCCGGCACCACGAGGGGGCAAGACAGCAACTGTAACCTGCTGTTTTTCCTTCTCCTCCTCCTCCTCCTCCTCGGCGACTTGGAGGGCGAGGGCCATGTCTTCGTCCTCGGCCACTTGCTCGAAGTCCTCGGCTTCGGCCTCAGTGCGAAGGTTGCTCTGCACCTCCCTCGCCACTTCTGAATCATTATTGGACGAGGCTTGCTCAGTTGAAGACTCCACGTCCGAATAGCTTTCTTGTTGCTCCGAGGGCGCCCTCGAGATATTTTGGGAATCACTTTACGAGGAGATTTTTTCGGAGAAGGGTAAGGAGGTTTAAGAGAAGCAGGCTTCTTAAAAATCCTAACCGAAGGCTCCTACGATCACTAACACTAGATCTAAGACGGAGAGGCAAAAAATGCTAAAGGAGCGAAGAACAGATGAAGAACTGACCTTGGAGGTTAGGGTTTGATCGAAGAAAGTACTTTCTCTCTCTAGAAAATTTGGCAGAGCTCCGCTATCACTCAAATTCAAACAAAGAAATGGGGTTTGGCCTTGGGGTATTTATAGGCTCCCCGGCCTCGAGAACTGGGCCTCGATTTGAAAATCCATCATTATGGGCCACCGCCTTAGCCAATGGGTGGCACCCACCCCTCTTCGACCAACAAGCGCATGCCACGGGGAAACCTCCTCCAACGGTCATGTCTCAACAGCTATATTTTTGGAAAACATTGAGGGAACCCCGTGTGATGGCCTTCGGCTATCACCCCTCCAGCCTTCGGTGGCCACATGTTACAAAATGCCTTCAAGCAAGCAGCAGCATAAGCCTCCGACTTATCAATGTTGCCACTCCCCGGCACTGATCCCTGGCCTAAAGGAGTGGGGGACTGGGAGAACCCCTCGGGGAAATATCAAAACAAACCCCTCACTATCACTACACCCTTCGGGAAAAGTGGGATCGTAAAAAATTTGCGGAGGTTACTTGCAAATGACGAAACAGCCCTCACCACAACACATACAGGCAACACATCTACATTTCCCTCAGAAAGCCCTCGACATGTGGGGGACTGAGGGAATGCCTTCGGTAAACAGCAGTTAAAGGTGGTCAGCAAAACGACGAAGCCTTCGGGAGAATCACCACAATTAATCCTTTTCCCTCAAGTACCATTCGGCAAAAGGAGTGGGGGACTCCTGATGGAGTATATGGCTCGGGAACCCCCGGCCCACAGACTCCTACTACTCTAGCACAGGCCCAACAGGCCCAGGAAGCACAAGAAGCCCAAAGCACCGCGGCCCAATTGTCAAGAAGCCCATGGTGCACATACGGGTGCCTTCGGCAATATGGCCGAAGGCTCCAAAACTCACAGGGAAGCCAGATTTGAGCATACGGAGCTACTGGGAGAAAATGGCAGAAATCAGGAGCCTTCGGCACTGTTGTGCCCTCGGCATCAGGGGAGCCTTCGGCTAAACCAAGCCTTCGACCACAGGGGTGCCCCCGGCTACGGGGGAGCCTTCGGCTAACAGCTCAATCACCGAAGATTCCCTTTGGAGACAGCCAACCACCGCATTTAATGCGGCGTCACATCCACCCACCGCATTTAATGCGGTGCACATGCGAGTGCCGGTACCACCCCGATTGAGGTGACCCCTCGGCCGTTGGATTACTGACACGTGTACTCTCATCGCATTTATTGCTGCTATAACTAGCAGCCCTTATTCCTCTTGTAAAGGATCCCAAACCAGAACATCTCGAGTTCATTAATACAATTGCCTCTCTCTCTCTTACTTGTTTGCTCTAACTTCTCTCTAGGTTATTCTCATAATAACCCCTCGGATAAGCTACCCCCGGGTACGCCATCCATCATCGAATATGTTGTTTAAAGTATAGTTTATATTAATACATATTTGTTCAATATAAAATTATGTGATAACAAACATACACAACAAATAATATATCAACAAAATATCATTGTCATGCAGCAACCAGCAAAATGTAAATTACGATTTCAAATATCAACGTATTAGTATTATAGCAAAATATTTAAGTGTATGTTCACATGTTTAACTTAATTAAATCATAAATATTAAATGTCAATATCTTGCAAATCATAATAAAATCTAGTATCAAACATTAAATTTCTAGAACTAAGAATTAAGAACTAAACAAAATATTATACTTGATGATTAATAAATAAAATAACAAGTTTTAAGAAGTTGGGTTTGTTCGGTTTGGTTCGGTTTTTTGTGTTCGGTTTCGGTTTTCTTGCGGTTCAGTTGTTTTGGTTGTGGTTTGAGTTTTTTTATTCGGTTTTCGGTTTCACCGATCCACCTCTACTCTCCGTTTCCAAAAGAAAGTCACAATTTGACTTCACACTTATTAAGAAAATAAATTTACTGGAGGTAAATTTTACTGTAGAGAACACTATTTTGACACTGGTTGACACTATTTGGCACTGTTTTGCACTGTTTGTACTGTTTAGATTTCTTTGCCAAATAGGGAAATAAAGGAAATGTGAATTTGTTTTTGAAACATCCAAAAAAAGAAAAGTGCGACTTTGATTCACAAACGAGGGAGCAGTGGCGGAGCCAGAAATCTATGGTTGAAGGGGCCGGTCTTTAAAAATTTTACATTGCAGGGGCCAAAGTTTAAAATATCCACATATTTTCTATAGATTAAAAGTATTTATACATAATATATACTTAAGAATTTTTTTCTTGCCGGGGCCGTGGCCCCCTCCAGCCCCTCCCTGTCTCCACCCCTGCGAGGGAGTATATATATAGATTAGCCACCATCATCGAATTAAAGTAGCCTTAGCTTGTATATAATTATATATAGTGCCAATAGCGGTAAGTGTTTCATACGTAGAATCAATTAAGCAAGTGAGGATAATGAAATAATCAAATTAAGGATATTTTTTTTGGAAGTTATCAAATCAAGGATAATAACCGAAAAAAGGTGACAACAATTTGGCATATGTATAGTGCACGACATAGAGTTAATACTCCGTATATTACTTCGCTGAGAAGTATATCCAGTCCACCAAAAAGGTCATATACGGAGGGAGGGTATTCCGCTTGCTTAGATGGCTCGCTTGGCATGCAGGCATGGACGACGACGTGGAGATCTTGGATCTACTTTTTACAGTGGGCACCTGAAAAAGACCGACATAATTAATTCTAAGAGATAATATATACTGTAGTTATATACTGTGCTAAGTAAGGAATAAGACTGTACTTTAAAATCAAGGAAAAAATAAACTACTTGTGATTGCGCCCGTTTTCATATAGACACATGTGTTTCATAATTTATCAAAGTGGTTCATGTGTTTGAACTATGTTATCACAAGAGGGTCCCGATGCCTGACGCCGTTAAAAACACTTGAGGAAGATGATGGACAGTAACTCCGAATTTCAAAAGTGTACGTAAAATTAAAAGAAAAATACAGAAAGATGCCCTAATATAACTTTTCCGGTGACAAGAGTGGCTTGAAACAAAAGAAAGAAAGATGGCCTAATGGTCATCTTGTTGAGGCGCACCTTTTAGTATTTTTTTTAATTTTTCGGTCACTTTCGAAAATCGGAGTTACTGTGCATCGTCTTCCTCCGGTGATTTCTAACGGCGTTAGGCGCTAGGACCCTGTTGTGATAACGGAGTTCAAATGCATGAACCACTTTGACAAAAAAAAAAATGAGATCTATTACGCATTTACGCATATACGTATGTAGTAAATACCTCTAGTATATATGTATTTGAAGTAATTTTTTACCAATATATATATAAGAAAAGGTTAACACTTAACATGCATAATTCAAATATGTATCGTCCAACTCTTATCAGTTATCACATTTCATGTAAGACTAATGATATCTTTTCAGGACGGTCTTTTAGGAGGTGCAATGAGTGTTTGGTATCGGGACCCATTCTTATAGAGAGGGCTTCCAAAATTTTAGTATGTAATATTAGTTAAAGCTTAATTTTTCTAGATGTTATGTACTCCGTATTATTTAAGATTTCAAAAGGTATAAATTTTTAGATTGTCTAATTTGTATACTTTAATCATCATAAAACTTATATTTTGTTGTACAATCTAGTCGTTTTTAAATGTTGTATTTCTTCTTGTTTTGGGGGTCTGGATTCGCAATTTGGAACTGAGGCCTTCAAATTTATTAGACAGCCAGGCCATGTACCTTATCACGTTTGAAATTAATCTAATTGACCATACAATATCCTTTTGGTTGACTTTTAAATTTAATGATGTAATGATAAGGGACAGATGAATCATTTGTGTTATGGGAAAACTCAATAACCCCGCTGGCAAATTGTATTAGGCTTCAAACAACCAATATGAATAGAAGAAGACAATTGATATGCATGAATAAAATAAAGAAAAATTATCCTAACTAAAACGTTGGTAAATTTCAAAATAAGATTATCATGTTTTTATTTTTTAAAAAGGATTGATTGCTATCATGTTTTGACAATATCAGATTTTAAACATGACATTATTTTTCAAACTTGACAGTAATTACTCCTATTTTAGAAATAAAACATAACAATCCTATTTTGAAATTTTCAACAATTCTACGACAAGAAAAGAGTTATACTAGTACATAGAAGTACAAAATTTTGTTGAAATACTTTACCAGATCGAGTGGGAGTAATAAATAAAGAGGAATTGAATGAATTACTTGGATCCGCATGAGTGAATCTGGCGGTGTTGGTGAAGTTGCATTGGAAAGGTTTACGGCCTTTAGTCTGATAGAAGGTGTTCATGGCGTAAGCGGCATGAGCCCGGGCGGTGGTCGGGTGGAAGCACGCGCCGCCGGGTTGGATGGGTCTGCAGTCCACGTGAGCGCACGCGTAGTTTATGTTCTCTATTAGCTGCTCATTATTTGCACTGCGTTTGGGCACACAGAATTTGCTACGTCTCCATGGCTGCGCACATGCAACAAAAACAACATGAGTATAGTATTTTTAACCAAGAATATTCTACTACCTCCGTCCCGAATAAAACTTCCAAACAGGTTGGGTACAGAGTTTAAGATAGTGGGTATATATTGTGTGATGGTCTGTGTTGGGTGTGTTTCGAAAAACAAAGAAAATTAATTAATAAAAATTAATTAAATAAAATGACATAACGAAAGTTTGGACAAAAATCTTTGTTGGGTGTGGTTAAAAATTAACGTTATCTTTAGAAGATAGGATTTTCGGACGGCATTCGTGTGTGCAGAACGCCCGCACACGCAAGTCGCGCTTTTTGTTCTTCGGTTTCGGGATTTGATTCGCACCCCACCCTGCGCGCGTGAGAGAGCCTTTCCCTTTAGGAAGCTTAACTCCTTAGGGGGGGTTTCCCTTTATAAAGGGTTCAAATTCCCTTGTGATTTTCGGTGTGGGAAAAACCATACCAAAAAACTCACCTTTTCCTAGTTTTCTCCATCCCAACGGGTACACTTCGAAAAGCGATTTCTCATTCACCCGTTATCCGTTTTGAGCGTACCATATATCAAATTGTAGCCCTAAGCAAGAACAATCCGAAACCACTTTGACCCGACCCGAATCGGAAGTGGACCCCGCTCAAAAAATTGCCCCAAAATGACCATTTAATGTAATTTAACACACTTTTTTCCAACAGTCTGGTGGAGAATTGTGCAGAGGAGAGAGAAATGTCTAAGAAATGTTGTGAATCACAAATCCTTTACCAAAAAGGAAAGTAGAAGTTTTAATTGGGACGGACGAAAAAGGAAAGTTGGAAGTTTGTTTAGGGACGAGGACAGTAATATGATTTTCTTCGTATAAATACTTTTCTAAATTAATATACTAAGGTCAAAGTTTAGCATCATCGACACCGGTAAAAGTTTAAAATATTTAACTAAAGATAGACAAAAAACATAAAAACACACTGTCAAGGGGAGGTCAAATTTGATTTGCAAATAAAATAATAAAGTAAAAATTATTTTATTGAAATATGTATAAAGGAGAGAAATAATATTCAATCTAGAAAATTAGGCAAATCTTTTTTGAGGGAGAAGAAGTACGTATATGAAAAACTAAATAATAGTCCGATAAGATTTTGAGAAGAAAAAACTGATAAATGATAAATCTGATAAGTTTTTTAGAGTTGTATAGTTGTATAAATAAAGTTTAATTTTGAGAAAATAAAGTTCATAGTTTGATTTCATTATTTTTGAGAAAGTTGAATTTTGTTTTTGAATTTCCCATTTTACCCTTTCGATGAACTATAGTAATACAAATTTAAATAATTAAAGAGGAAAATAATATAAACACGCCAAACTTTGAAGGGATGTGAGATAAATATCCCAAACTTGTATATGTAATATATGTACCACGAACTTTATCTAAAAAGTTATTTTCGCACCATGATTATATACTTTTTAATAAAATAAATTTAGAGCAATAAGTACATATTAAAAAAAAATCTAAGCTTTATTTGGATATAGTAACACATTCTAAATTTTCAGTTTTGAAATAAATAATATTAATTCGGTACTAACAAACTTTAATTGCATCTTCATAAGTGTTTTTTGTATTTCTAAGTATGTACTTAACACCATAAAATTACTTTTGTGAAGAAAAACATATGATCATGATGCTAATATAACTTTTTATATAAGGATTGAGTATATATTATGTGTGCAAGTTTGAGGTATTTACCTGATCACACATCTTCAAAGTTTGAGATATTTAAATTATTTTTTCCATAATTAAACCATACTTTTGTCCGATCCCGGGCTTGTAGTGAACTAGTAAATGCTGTGAAAGTGCAAAGGCACTAATTAAAGTAATGGTATACATGTACATTTAAATAATTAAACCAAACTTTGATCTGGTTCGATCCAGTATCGATTCTCAAAGTTTAACTTTGATCTGCGTTGCACGGGATGCATATGTTATATGTTTAACCATGTCATTAGATGACAGTGGAAATCTAATGAATTGTTTAACTAACTCGGATTTACATGTGTTAAAAATTTGGAATGAATTTTTCAGAGCACAAAGTTGGATAAAGTTGTGACCACTTCGTAATAATAAAAATACTTTTCATTAGATATATAAATATTTTGTTACATATTTGTGTTTATAAAATATACTACCTCCGTCCCACTATATAACATTGGGACATGAGGAGGTGATACGATTATTAAGAAAAGTGAGTTTATGTGATTGATATTGAATTGATAAAGTAAGAATGATTTAGAGCCACACAAACTTTATCAAATTTGATATGAGAAAATCTTAGTGGGACTCCCTGAAAAGGAAAAGTGAGACAATCTTAGCGGGACAGAGGGAGTAATAACAAAGGATTCATGCAATTGAGGAACGCTAAAAATGATAGTATAAGTTTAAAAATCAAAATTTTCACATTATAATTACTAATTGCTAACTATTAATTTACACGTTATTGTTTAGAGAAAATGAGTATGAAATCATTAAATATGGAAACACAAGCTATACCTTGTTATTTTATATTATTATAGAAGACTATTGTTATTAATAATATAACTATTACTGTACTGCAAGACAATAATAATGATGTTTTTTATGATCGGGTCCGCTTAAGTTTGGTTTGATGACCTAAACTGATCTGGTCTGGTAAGTATCGGATGTATGTATAATTTACTAACTTATTCTGATCCGATCAAGTCTATTGTATTTAAATTTGATCTGATTTGGTGTAGTTTCTTTTAATCTGGTGTGGTCTAGCTTATAATTGAAAACATTTAAATCAAAATATTGTAAACGTTCTGATTTTTTTCTTTGCGTTAAGTGAAGTCCCGCCAATTATGTATCACTATTATTATTTTATAATAAAAATAATAATTATTATCTATTATCATCATCATCATTATAGATTATTTTGAATTGAAAATATTCCAATTACTCAAATATTCATGTTACTCTTATTTTTTAATGGGTATGAAGTATTAAATGTCTAATTAGAGGGAAAAACAATGTGTCACACCTTGTTACTTTATATTATTATAGATTTATATTATTATTGATTATTACAGATATTGTAAACGTTCTGATTTATTTCTTTGCGTTAAGTGAAATCCTGCCAATTATGTATCACTATTATTATATTATAATAAAAATAATAATTATTATCTATCATCATTATCATCATTATAGATTATTTTGAATTGAAAATATTCCAATTCCTCCAATATTTATGTAACTCTTATTTTTTAATGAGTATGAAACATTAAATGTCTAATTGGAGGGAAAATCAATTTGTCACATCTTGTTACTTTATATTGTTATAGATGAATCGTTTAAAATTTTGTAAGTGAATATAATTTAATAAATATCAATAAATGTGAAAATAAGAAAATGATCAATCAAATGAATGATATCACAACAGAGTAGAAAAGTACCTGCGGATGCGCCGGGGTCAAAGATGGATCCGTTTCTCCCTTCATGATCCCGATACTATAAACCGGGCTGAAATCCGGCCGGAAAAGCCCGAAGTTCCGCTCCGCCTTTGACCCTGTTTTCAGATTCTCATTAAACAGAGCGAATATATAAGTCTCGATCCTGTTCCTGTTCCTCCTCATCAGCCCGGCGTTATACGACCGCGCATTCGCCACCGTACATTGCGGCTCGAACTCTTCTCCGGCCGACGGCCACCCTGTCTCCGCCGCGACAATCTCGACGTCCGGGTACCCCAGCCGACACATCGCCGCGAATACAGAGTCCAGAAGCATGTCGAACATGTTGTAGTAGGTCTTGTTCGTGTGCCGGTCGAAGACGCCTTTGTTCGGCCGGAAGAGCGCGAGATCCGCACTTTGCCGGTTGTACCCGAAATACGGGTATGGGTTTACCAGAAAAGGACCTTTCGTTTGGTTGAGGAAGTTAAGCATCGGCGAGAGGATTCCGGTGACGTCCCATTCGTCTCTGAACTGGGCCTGGCTCGGCGACAGGTCACTGCTTGATGCATTCATAATCCCGAGTGAATGCGCGCTTGAAACCTTTATTGGAATACTTAAATGTCAGTACACAATTAATAAATTTTTCAAAATGAAATTAATAATTACATATCTATATGAATGTAGTTAAAAAAATTCGTTCATATACATGTGAAGGGGTGTTTGGAAGACATTCTTCTCCTACTTCCTTTTTAAACCAAAAGCAGAATCAGAATCAGTTTTCAGAAGTTGGTCACCCTCAGCTTCTAAAAATATTGATTCTAGGAGTAAAAAAGAGCACCAGAATCACTTCTACCAGAATCACTTCTGCACGTTCACCCAAACACTCTAGCTTCTGTTTCCACTCGCTCAGGGAGCAGAAGCAGTTTTAAGAATCAGATTCAAACATCCCCGAAATAACTACGTAGTATAAACTTTGTTAAGAAAACTGTTCAAATAGATCACATAAGTTGGGCTGCACAAGAATAACCCGAACCCGCATAACCCACCCGACCCAACCCTACCCAACCCTATTTAATCGGGTATTTGATTTTTAAAAAATTTCAACGGTTAAATATGTTAGAACCCGCACCTAATGGGTAGGGTTGCGGAATTAAAATCCCAAACCCGATAGTACCCGACCCGGCCAAAGTTCATTTTACTATCATTATGCTACAACGTTTTCTTGGATAATTTCAATTTAAGACCAATGTGCTCTATCTAGAACTTTATGATATTAGAATTATTATTAAACATTTATCATTTTGACTAGGTGATTATTATATATTTACGTTTACTTCTAAATGAACTCCCTTTGTGGAAGGATGTTTCAATACTATTACCTAATGTTTTTGCTTATAAAAGATACGAGTATTTGTATTTCAGTATTTGTTTGTGTGTTTTGGAAACAAGTTAATCAAGTTTTAAATTGGTTACATTAATTTTCCACATGAAAGATGCAACCAGAAGTGATTTTTTCCCCCAATACCCGACCCTACCCGACCCGTTCATGCATGGTTTACCAACTTATTTTGCGTAGCGCGGGTTGGTTATTAGCCAACCCGAACAAATCGGGTAGGCCCAAAAAATATAGCAAACCCGACCCAACCCGCCCGATGTGCAGCCCGACACATAAGTTTTCGATTTTTTTAACTATAAGAACACATGTAAATGGAGCCTAAAGTCCATTTCGATTGAAGTGTTGATTGGAATCTTAATTCATATCTCATCCCACTTATATAAATATATAGTTTCTTGCTCGCGCTATGCTTGAGAAAAGAATGCCCAATAATATTTTCATTGATATAATGAATGAAATGGTTGTTGGTGTAATAGAGTTATATGTTCATTTTTGCATTATTAATTTTCTCATTACCTTTTTATGATGTGTTAATTGTTTATTGTATGCACACGCTATGTGTTATGATTTTATCATCACACAAGTTAAAAAATTTAAAGTAAAGGCCTACTTCTAAAGTAATCATTTCTGCAAGTAGAGAGAAGATATATATAAATTTACATAAAATTGGATTTTTTTAATCTTAATAATCTATTTTGATAATGTTATTATTTTTCAAATATTAATAACAATAATTTATGTTTTTTTATATCTTTGACCATAAAGATAGATGTTTATTTTTACTATTTATTTTGCACCCGGTATTTGACCAAAACCCAGAGGTTTTAGGGTGAGGGCCAGGAAACACCTCACATATTTATTGAATTTAGAAAAATGCAAAGAGTAGGAGGATACTATTATTTATTATTATTATTGTTAAATACTCCGTAATAAATAATAGTAAAAACAACCATATTGCGTTTTCTACTAATTGTTAAAGCCAAACAACTAAATTGCTAACATTTTCTGACAACCCGTCAACTTGTTCCGCTAATCAAGCCCGTTGACTAAATTCGCTATTGGGACAACCCGCTAATATAATCCGCTATACACTAACCGCTAAATATCAAACACGCCCAAACAAATTATCTTCTACATACTCGTATAATATAAAGTAATGTAGAGAAAAAATTTAAAATGTAAAAACAAATGAAAACATATAATGGAAATTAATGCTATTAGCATATACTACGTACTATGTACATAGAATGTTAAGGAAACTTAAGAGTTAGGATTTAACGGAGGTAGGGACGTAGGGTCATAAATATGGGTAATGGTGAATGGTACAATGATTAAAATATATTGTACAAGTGCATATTGCTCAAGTGTTACACCAACATTTTTATCATTTCTAAAATACTCTAACCGTCATTGGTGCTTATAAGTTTTTAGAAAATAGGAATATCAGTTGAGAGAAAAAAGAAGTAAATTTTCAGATGAAGAAATGCCACAAAGAAACTCGACATAATTCCTGAGAGATTCTAAAAAATTCACAAGAAGCTTTTAAGAAATCAAGTCGCGTATTTTATTAAGAATATATGACTAATTCATTGTGATTTCGTCTATCTTGATAAACTAAGTCCAAATTTTGAAGTACGTTCAAAAATTTGAAGAACATGCATTCAATGATCTAAAGAAAAGAGTTCAAGAATCGAACATATGAAGAACGAAACTTCAAGATTCGAAGATGAGAATGTGACTTTGAAGATTTGAAAACATTCTTATCAATATTGACTTTATATTCAATTGAACATCAAGTCATATAAGAGAAAATCAAGTCATAAAATGACTCTTGTTAAAGATCTTGTTACTTGAAAAACAGATCAGATAGCCTTCTGGGAGAATTCTAATTATAGAACATTCAAGTATTCGAGGGCCGGTCTTGGCGGTTCCAAGGCCTAGGAGCGAGCCGTCCATAACAGGCCTAACTTTTAAAGAATATTGTGAATCTTTTCTTTATTCTTCACCTCTTTTTCACTTTATCCTATCCTGATTTGTCCAAGTTTATTACACTTTAAAACTAATAAAATCTTTTACATTTAATGAAGTTTTGAATGTTTACCAGAGGCGGCTATAGGGCCAGTTTGGCTAGGCAAATGCCTAGGGCCTCACATGTGAATGGGGCCTCAAAAAAATACGAGTAAGCTAGTAGTAGTATGAGTAATTGAAAAAAAAACGAGGTGCAAGGTTTGAAGCTTTTGAACACCAAAAGTACTACAATCGAGGCAAATCGGCAATGAAACTGCAAAAAGGCAATTGCCGCAATTCCTAAATTTTGCATTTCATATCTGATATTTCATAAGGATTATTGACTGGCACGACGACATCGACCACCAAGCGTAGAAGTGCCGATGCTAACCTCAGTGTTTAGTCTAGTTCTATGTTCTCGTTTTATTATGTCAGTAGCCATTGAATCTCATTTTCTGTTGCTTAATTATTGACGTTATTCTGTAAAAATGATTAAAGCAGTAAACCACCTCTGCGAAGGGTTGAAGGAATATTGGAAAACTGGAAGTCTGGAACTCTATATCCTCTAGAATAAGGATTTTTACTTTTCTAGGATTTGAGTTAAATAATAATTTGCTGGTCTAAAGTTAAACTTATGATTATAATTTATAAAGTATTGGACCAATATATTGCTAAATTGTCTCTTTATGCTACGGAGTATTTTTTGAATACTGAAAATACTTTTTTTACTTAATTTGATTGTAGTAGTGTCATTTTTTATGTTTTTCATTTTCACTATTGGTCAATTTTAACTTTTTGTTGTTCACATTATAGGGTGCAATCACATAATATGTGCAATCACATAATATGTTATGTTATACTCCCTCCGTATCTATTTACTTGTCTCATTTCCTTTTGGGATGGATCAAATTAATGGTCACATTTCCCTTTTCGGAAATAAACCCACTCAAAAAGCAGTTACAGTACCGCTACATTACCAAAATCTTTTACTTTTCAGAAAATCTACAACAATTGTCTTAAACTAAGTAAAAAAGCAAACGGGCAAAGTAATTAGATACGGAGGGAGTACAACGTAGAAAACAAATTAATATGATTCCAGCGTATTAAATCTTCCATGTCCTTTTCTTGAAAGAGATTATTCGATGTCTAGGGCCTCCAAAAGGCTCAAGCCGCCCCTGATGTTTACCAAAGAAATTTTAATACTTTCACAAAATCACAATTTAATTTCATAACCATTTTTTACAAAATGATACTCTATATTTAATACTCCAACGTAACAAATTCAAAATACACAAATTCAGGATCAAACAACAATATGAACAATTCACAATTTTCAGTACTTCACGATCCAACTAGACAAAAATCAATAAGTAAGTATACACAGAAATTTTTAAAGTATTAAATTATTTTTTGATTTTATATATTCAATATTGGTATCATATGAAAGATCATAAAAAGTTATGAATTATGGTATATTTTTGTAACAATCAGAGTACTAATAAAAAAATTACAACGCTTCAAAGAAAAGAGGAGATTTTTAATTTGGGTGGGACCCATTACCATATATGTTTGTCTTTGGCATTGCTTAGTTACGTGAGATGCTTTTGAAAAGCAATATTTTGGGAACTATTTTTAACTTAGTAATATTTTGGAATTATTTATTTAATTAGCATTATTCCGGGAAAAAAAAATTCATAGATCCACATGACAAAAGAAAACGGAGGAATACACGGCAAGAAAATTTAAATTTTTAGTGGGAAAATCAATGGCATACAGAGTATTAAAGTTTCTACAATATTTTCATAATTATAAATACCAACATATTTAAATTTAAAACATACATCCCATTAATTTTTAAAAGGTAGATTCTATGGTACCTAAAAGGTACCATACCTTTGTCCACATGAACCAATCAGAATGTTGTAGTTGAATTTTTTAAATCTAAATTAGAAATGGTATAATGATTTCGACCAATTATGTGAGTGGTAGGTACGGCACCCCATTTTTTAAATGGGTACCGGAGTTGTCACAGATAGATTCTATGGTACCCAAAAGGTACCATACCTTTGTCCACATGGACCAATCAGAATGTTGTAGTTGAATTATTTAAATCTAGATTAAAAATGATATAATGATTTGGACCAATTATTTTGTATCTTCTCTTTACCACATACATCGCGTTCCAAATTATAGTTACATGAAAAATTCTTAGTGCACATGAATTATACATAAAGTGTACACAAAACTTCCTAGTTGCATGTGTATATACACAAGCAATTTGTTTTATAAGGGGCATGATTTAATGCTGAAATATCCTTAGTTGCATGTGTACATAGACAATGTACAATTTGTATACACATTTTTGTGTACATTTAAAAAAAATGACCCTACTTACATACATACAGAGTATTTCCGTTTCAGATGGTCATAAAATAGAATTGACATTTTATTACTTTGTTGTAAAATGGTCCTATAATATACTTCATTATTTCTTTTACTGAGACTTACAACTTTATCATTCAAATTTTATTTATTTGTCTCATTATTAAAGTAAAAGTAAATGAAGAGTGGGTATTTTATACTCCTAGTGCCTGTTTGATAACCTTTAATTTTGATGTATCAGCGTACGTTATCATTCAACTTGTTAACCTAATAATGATTTTTGTGTTACATAATTAAAATTGTTTCATAATTAAAATAAAGTAAGATTGAAATTGTTTTTTGATTGAAGTTGCTACTTCAAATGCTATTTTAGTTGTATCATAATTTTTTTTGTTAATGAATTATACAGTAAATGTCTTTGATAAGAATTTCTACAATATAATTTTAATTGTCAATTTTAAGTTACTAAAAGAACGTATAATCTAAAGCCACAAAAAAGAATATTCAATCCACGAGCTTAAATAAAAGGGGTGATTTGAATTTGCACCCCATTTTATTGTCCAAATTGGACTGTGCACCCTATTTTTAGAAATCTTTGTTTTTGCACCCCGACCCCATATGAAAAGACAAAATTATCCTCCATCAGGAATATGTTGAAGGCCAACAAAATTGTTAATGGAGGGCCATTGTGTCTTTTCATACGGGGTTGTGGTGCACAAACAAAGTTTTTGGGAAACGGGGTGCAAAGTCCAATTCGCACAATATAATGGGGTGCAAACTCAAATTACCCCTAAATAAAATGTCACCATCAATTTAACACCGTAATATTCCTTCCGTCCCGTTAAGATTGTCTTATTTTTCTTTTTCAATTCTTCCCACTAAGATTGTTTCATTCTTAACCACATAAATTTACTTTATCATTCTTACTTTATCAATTCTTACTTTATTCTTACTTATGTGGTTATTTTTCTTAATAACCACATAAGTTTTTTGCCACCAATGTGCGGCTGGCTTTTCTATGATGAAAGTGTGTTTTTCCACACAGCAACAAAGCGCAATAACTCACAGGGATGGCTAAGTTGTCCGGGTTGGAGGAACGGAGCAGGCAATCTGGTATGGAGAATGATAATGATTAGTATATTGATCGATGATGGTGAGCTCCTAAACTTCTGACTTGCGGGAAAAGATGTGAAAGAAGTAAGCGTGAGGGAGAAGGCATCGATACCGAAAAATAGGATCAGGATGGTTTGGGTTTATACTTTATAGGCCCGCATTGGAGCTTGACGATTCAGATGTTCTTTATTAGTTTCTTGTCTTTTAATTCCGGATTTCATTGTTGTTTTGTACTCCGTATTATTTTTTTTTTGGATGAAATGTAAATTTTATTAGCACTCAAAAGAAAACTATACATCCTAGATCTTCCAAACATCCCCCAATTGGGGGTTGGAAGAAGGTTTTAATTCGATCTAAGTCCAAAAACAAGTTGGGGCCCAAGTAAGAAGCCTACTCAGTCCCCCCAACATCAAAAAGAGGCAAGACCCTATTATGTTTTGAGTGGTAGATTCGCCCATTTGATTCAAGTTGCCCGTTCACTGATTAGCGAGTTATTGTGATATTTCAAAGAATGCATCAATTTTTTTTTATAATCCAAGTGTTCGGGCTTACACTTTCATAATCTTAAATTATATGAACTTCGAACCATGAATCATGGAGAATCATAGGGAGGAGCAAAACCTCTCATCTCTTTTAAGCGCGAATTGAATCCAAGACCTCTCAAGAAGAGGAGAGACTTGGTCATTGCATACTACACCCACTAATTCTCAACATAGAATATACTTTTATCATACTTATACTTCGTATAAAGTGCATGCTTAGCTTATACTTTTATCATACTTATACTTCAAAGTAATTTACCTTAATATCTTTTATCCCTGTATAAATCAGAGCGCGGTACAATCTTCTCATGGCTGGGACAAGTCCTTTCTTCATCTCCGTCGTGCCCCAGTGGATGACCTCACTCCCAACGGAGATTATGTTGATCTTAGTCGCCGGGTAAAATGGTTTGATGTTCTCGGCGACCCATTGCCGGGCGTAGACTGAGTCGTTGGCCAGTCGGGGGATCTCGCCGTCGGGGACAGTGACTGTTACCAGGATTTCGGTGTTGGCGAAAGCCCGGAGAATGTCGGGGTTGACGTCGAAGATTTTGATCCGGTCGATGGTGGTGTTTTCCTTGATGAATCTAGCGACCTCCGCCGGAGGAGGGAGGTCGTTGCCCATAGTTCCATAGTTAACGCCAATGGAGTGGACGCCGCCGGGAAGGAGAAAAACAGAGAAGAGTGTCAAAAACCGAGAATGTCGGGTAAACATCTCCATTTCTTTTTTTTAACTTGTGATTGATTAAGAATGTGACCACAGTATATAAAGAGACATACGGAGTAAGAAAAGAGAATTGAGAGTCAAAAGTTGAGGTCTGAGGTATCTACTTTTGTGGACGGTTATTTTACTTAAGAAAACTTTTGAGTTGTGGGAGCATGGTAGGTATACACATTTTGGTGTAAAAATTTTGTACATTTATCTGTCTCACGCACAAAAAATTGTTTGTTCACAGACAATTCTACAAGTTTTTTGTGGACAGACAATTCTTTATGTATCAAACAGACGAATGTACAAAATGTCTACACAAAACATTTTTCAAACCTTTTTCTTCTTTACCTTTTTACGCCCTAATTGTCATGTCTCATGATTCATGAATCATAAAATGGTCAAAAATCTAGAAAACGAGTATGGTCCGAAAATGTGTTACGAAGTATTCCTTCCTTCCTATTTATCTTTCAACATTTCTTGTGATTTATTCGTCTCAAAATACTCCCTTCTTTATTTATTCTGCAAACAATATGTGATTTACATTATTTCTTATATATTCTTTCATATATCGCTCTCATTTATATGATTCTCTACCTCACAACTTTAATCACGCTCAAAAGAGAATTTACCCTAAATAGGACTAAAAATGTTTGTAAATTCCAAAATGGGACTGCCATGTTTTTAATTCTCAATATGAGACTAATTACTGTCATGTTTTGGCAGTATCGGACTTTAAACATGACAGTATTTTCCAAACTTGACAGTAATTACTCCTATTTTTGGAATAAAAACATGACAGTCCTATTTTGGAATTTACAAACGTTTTTTATCCCATTTCAGGAACTTTCCCCGCTCAAAATCCTATTTGAAAGATAATTGAGGAACGAAGATAGTACTCCGTATTTGGTAACCAGTGGGTCTACTAACTAGTACTCTAGTATGGTACATACGTGTTTAACACGGTATAATGATTAAGCAAGAAAATAGAGTCCATTTTTTCAAAAATGCTATAGTCACTCCATTAGTACCCCACTTTGTACCCCATATAAAATCCTTCCCATTTTTACCTTTTGTTACCCCCTCCAAACATATCTCTTCCCACATCCCAATTTCTTTCTCTTGGCCGTCCCTTTCTATTCTCCCACCCCCAATTCCCATTATTTTCTCCTCTTTCCATTTTAAGAGCTCTATAATCTCCATTTTAGAAGTTCTCAAGACCTCCCCATTTAGTTATCTCTAAGGTAACCATCCCTTCTCAAATAATGAGGTACGCACTCTATTTCCAATTTTTCTTCATGTACGTTTTTATTTTTTTATTTCTCCTTTTTTTGATTTTATGTATATTATGTATGATATAACATTGAATAATTGATTAGTTTGTTTCATTGTAATGATTTTGAGGTGTTAATTAATTAAAATTTTAGTGTAATTTCTCTAGTTCATTTTATGCCCATAACATGTTTGTAGAAATTACTCAATGATTTTTGTTGTTGAAATTCAAGATTTCTTTTCCATTTTTTATACCTCAGTGTTTAATGAGGATTTTTATGGATTTCCAATTCAATATGATATAGTAATTTTTTTATTGAATATTTTATGTGATTATTATGAATTTTTTTAGGTTTGTAATTGAGTTTTAGATGTTTGGTAAACTATTGTTACATGTTTGTATTTCGTTTGAGCTGTCAGTAATGACTTCATAAATGTGTGGTGCATGTATTGGTTTTGTACTTGTCATTGATGTGGTTTGAGTTGTCATTATGTATTGTTTGTGGTAATGGCTTGGTAGTTTAAAATTTGTTTGTAGTTGTCTGTCATGTGAAATTAGTTGTCTGGCAAGCCATTTGAGTTGTCTGTCACTTCAGTTTGAACTGTTGAAACTAGGTTTGTAGTTGTCTGTCATGTGCAACTAGTTGTCTGGCAAGCCATTTGAGTTTTCTATCACTTCATTTTGAATTGTTGAAACTAGGTTTGCAGTTGTCTGTCATGTGAAATTAGTTGTCTGGCAAGCCATTTGGGTTGTTTGTCACTTCATTTTGAACTGTTGAAACTAGGTTTGTAGTTGTCCGTCATGTGAAATTAGTTGTCTGGCAAGCCTTCTGAGTTGTCTGTAGGGTATTCAATTCAACCTTTATTACAATACATAAATTGTCTGTATAAGTGTCGTAAATATCTGTCTTGGTTATACTTGTGTGTCTACAGGAGCACCTTTGCAGAGCACCTGTTAATGGGAAAGCTCTTGGTTCCAGAGTGTGAATATGCAAACATGTGGAACAAGAGATGTTAATACGATGTTCGTTTGTGGCGATTGAAGAGGGTGGGAGAAGCACATGAATTCCTTAGAAATGTGGGAATGTTTTTATGGGTTGTTTAATGCAGTTGCAAACATTATGGATGTCTATCTACAAGATGTGTGGAATATTGTACAACCGTTGATGTTAATGTTGTACAATGTTCAATAATTGGATGAGATTTTTTTTTGTTTTTGAATATGTTGCAAACCTTACAAATGTGACATTCAAGTAAATGAGGATATGTAGTTGTGCAATGTTGTACATTGGGTTATGTTAGGTTGTCAAGTATAAATGAAACCTTTTTTGTTATGTTGTGAACTTTTACATATGTTTTTATTTAATTATGTAGTGTTTGTCTACGTATGCAATTTATATGTCTGTGAATGACATAATTGTCTGTACGTGTGTGCGTATAGTCTTTTTAGGTATACATTTTGTCTATGTGGCAGCTAAGTTGTGTAGCTGTAGAAGAAATATACCACAACACAAACACATAATTTTCAAGACCACAAGTAATTGTTCATTCCAAACTACATACACTCCTAATTCACAATAACTGAAGGCTCAAATCCGACCCCTTGTCATAGACACATGGCGATAATACGGTCCAATCATGAATTTCATTTTAGACATTACTTGTGTGCACTTCTCTTCATCTGTTATTTCAGAAAAGTATACATATTCCCTTCAACACATAATTATCATTTTCGTCTCTACAGACAAACAATTATCTTTATATTCGGCCAAATATAACTATGTTTCCAAACAAAAGCACCCACATTTATATAAAAACTGCATGAACACTTACTCAACTCATCAAACGTACATTATAATACATTTGTGAAATACTTGCATGCGAATATAGACATTTGTTCTACTTACACAAACAAATAAAGTTGTCTGGTCACACAGACATTAAACAACCCATAAAAACATTCCCACATTTCTAAGGAATTCCTATGCTTCTTCCACCCTCCTCAATCGCCACAAAGGAACAACGTATTGACATCTCTTGTTCCACATGTTTTCATATTCACACTCTGGAACCAAGGGCTTTCCCATTAACAGGTGCTCTCCAAAGGATGCAACCATCGCTCCACATTCTTTGGACCTGTAGACAAACAAGTATAACCAAGACAGACATTTACGACACTTATACACACAATTTATAAGGAATTCATATGCTTCTTCCACCCCCCTCAATCGCCACAAAGGAACAACGTATTGACATCTCATGTTCCACATGTTTGCATATTCACACTCTGGAACCAAGGGCTTTCCCATTAAAAGGTGCTCTCCAAAGGATGCAACCATCGCTCCACATTCTTCTGACCTGTAGACAAACAAGTATAACCAAGACAGACATTTACGACACTTATACACACAATTTATGTATTGTAATAAAGGTTGGATTGAATAGCCTACAAACAACTCAGAAGGCTTGTCAGACAACTAATTTCACATGACAGACAACTACAAACCTAGTTTCAACAGTTCAAAATGAAGTGACAGACAACTCAAATGGCTTGCCAGACAACTAATTTCACATGACAGACAACTACAAACCTAGTTTCAACAATTCAAAATGAAGTGATAGAAAACTCAAATGGCTTGCCAGACAACTAGTTGCACATGACAGACAACTACAAACCTAGTTTCAACAGTTCAAACTGAAGTGACAGACAACTCAAATGGCTTGCCAGACAACTAATTTCACATGACAGACAACTACAAACAAATTTTAAACTACCAAGCCATTACCACAAACAATACATAATGACAACTCAAACCACATCAATGACAAGTACAAAACCAATACATGCACCACACATTTATGAAGTCATTACTGACAGCTCAAACGAAATACAAACATGTAACAATAGTTTACCAAACATCTAAAACTCAATTACAAACCTAAAAAAATTCATAATAATCACATAAAATATTCAATAAAAAAAATTACTATATCATATTGAATTGGAAATCCATAAAAATCCTCATTAAACACTGAGGTATAAAAAATGGAAAAGAAGTCTTGAATTTCAACAACAAAAATCATTGAGTGATTTCTACAAACATGTTATGGGCATAAAATGAACTAGAGAAATTACACTAAAATTTTAATTAATTAACACCTCAAAATCATTACAATGAAACAAACTAATCAATTATTCAATGTTATATCATACATAATTTACATAGAATCAAATAAAGGAGAACATAAAAAAATAAAAACGCACATGAAGAAAAATTGGAAATAGAGTGCGTACCTCATTATTTGAGAAGGGATGGTTACCTTAGAGACAACTAAATGGGGAGGTCTTGAGAACTTAAAAAATGGAGATTATAGAGCTCTTAAAATGGAAAGAGGAGAAAATAATGGGAATTGGGGGTGGGAGAATAGAAAGGGACGACCAAGAGAAAGAAATAGGGGATGTGGGAAGAGAGATGTTTGGAGGGGGTAACAAAAGGTAAAAATGGGAAGGCTTTTATATGGGGTACAAAGTGGGGTACTAATGGGGTGACTATAGCATAATTGCCATTTTTTACCATTTAACTTTAAGCATATGTTTATAAAGTTGAAAACAACTTTAAGCATATTTATAATGAAGTGATTGTTACCGTTAGGCTTGTCGATGGGCCACCTTTGGGACACAATATAGTGTTTCAAATTCGAACCCGCTAAATTGATGAAAGACAGACTCTTATACTCAACGAGTTT